AATTTTTGAAGTTATACTTCTTTAGGCGCGTTATGAAAAACTGATGAGAGTGAAATTTCAAGATGCGCGCGCATCACTGTAACACAAAATTAACAGGATGAAGTTGCCCACTCAACCGAATTCATTAAGTCTCGGAAAAAAGCTACCAACGAAATAGAAATAAAACCTCTCTTAGTCGCGCATGTTGGTACGCTTGTCGCCTCTGATCACTGTTTTCATATTTATTTATAATATTTATCCACATGGTTTTAGTTTTTACAGTCACAACACGTGTTTTATTTTCATACAAGTGCGAATTATATATGTGGCAATAAAATATATTCAGTAGTGATTTAAATTGAATATTTGGATTAATATTATTTACTATTTGTGAATATTAGTGAAAAAATTGTGCTAAAATACTTTTTTAAGTGCTCCAATATAATTGAGGTTAGTTATCCCTATGTATTATTTATTGATATAAATTAAAATATCATTATTTAATATAATTAATACTAAATATTATTAAATTATCAATGTTGAATATTTATTATTGGTTATTTAATATTTACAAAATAAAGAAATAAATTTAATAGAACATTTAATAAAAAGTTCGTGACAAAAATTTAATAGATTATTTAAATATAATGTAAGACATCCGTTATTTGTTTTATTGTTTTTTATTACATACGTCTTTTCTTTATCATTGTGTGACAGAAGATTTTGACATGTTGTGTATTTTTCTATTTTAATTAAATATTTATTAAAAAATATTTACTGCCCATGAAATATAATTCAATAAAATTAAAATCGAGCATCAAATTAAAATATTATTTTTTAATGATGCCAAAGAAGTATAACTTCTCACGCGCGTACATAAGTACACGCACCCTTTTTTCCAGAAATAGTTATTTTACATCTAAACTTATCTTTTCCTTTCTACATTGAATCTATCGTTCCATCCCTCAAAACCTATGTATATGAACACTCATTCCATCCTCTTCATAATTAATTTTCCAATAACTTCTTTGCATTCATTAACGGTCATTTTAAAATCTCCCAATTATGTTTCCGTAAAAGTCAACGGTCCTAACCGAACGTTAAGTATTAGTAATCCAACGGTTTACAACTTTTATAAACAATCATAATCTAAATAGTTTGCAACGGTTACATCGATATCGGTCTTTCGGCTATATTTACACACCCATCCTCTACCCCTAATCTATCACAATACTTCTATTCTTAGAAGCCTTTAGAAATAATGCCTTACAAATTTAAAACAGCAACAGATTGTCAGGTAACTATAAACACATTAAATCAATCTGCATCGAAAACTACATAGTTTCAATATTAAAATGCATAAGTAGCACAACTACTAATGAATAGTGAATATTCATACATACACGCACAGTGAAACGATTACTACACATTTTTTAGATCTTAGAAACTCAAAAACACCATGCAGGGGTGGTTTCCACGCCCAACATGTGTATGTATATATTCTTGATCAGCGTGACGAACTCTATAACAGACTGTACTTTCAGGAAAATCGATTGGGGGGCAACGGTCATTTAGAATTTGACTTTTTCAATTTTAACGCAAACGCTTTTTTTTTTCGTTATACTCCCTTTGTTCACTCTGTCCACTCATGCCCTCCTATTAATAATAATATAATCAACGGTCGTTTTAAAATCTTCCAGCCACCTTTCCGAAAGAAGCTTACAGTATCAGACGAAACGTATTAGTAATCGAAACGGTTTACAAACAAAACAATCACA